GATTAAAATGTCAATAATTGGAAAATCAAAGAAGTCATATCCCTAGCGGCCCCACACTTCTTTTCAAAATCACTTTTTCCCATGTTTTTTTTACCTGGGTAAACAGATATCTATTGGGACAACGAATATAAGATGATACTTCTTTTATACAATTGTGTTTTATTAATTAAAATATCGAGTCAAACTATGATGTCTAGAGCACTACTTAGTCCACTTTTCGTTGAGAACTAAATGATTAATTATTTATTCTTGAGAAAAATATAAAGAATTTTTGGATGATTCTCTAAACAATGTTCATCGTGTCATCGTATAGATTCTAATTATAGACAAGGGTCCACAGAGATAGAAATTGTTGATTTCAATCTTAAAACCATGAAAGAAATGAATGCGTGCCCTTGGAATGACCCAAATATGTCCAATCAATGCACTGGCAATCAAAAACAGCAAGTATTTCGGAATTTGCCGTATGCTTTGCAGACATTATTATCCAATATGTTTTCAAATGATCATGCTTCTCATCTTAGAAGAATGCTGTGATCCCAACGCTCTTGTTCTCAATCAAGAATGATTATCAGGCGCTTAAAATAGTAGTGTGTTAACCGTTAACACAAAGGCACTAATCAGGTATTCTAACCATGTATCAAAGGTGCAAAAATTCTTTCTTATTCATGGTGAATGTAGAGATACACCGTGTTACTACTACCCGGAACCTTGATTAGTTGGGCTGAATCTGGTTCTTAATTGATGACTGTTGGGCTAGATTGTTTTGATAGAAAGTGCTTTTCTGGTTTTGCATTTTAGCTGGATGCGTTTTACTTATATCTGGACGGTGGAGATGTCATCAAGTGTCGCCCCAATATCCGTTGGATGGTGACTCTTCTAGAGACTTCTCTTAAAGTCTAGAGTTGAAATTTTGGACGCTTAATCTCTCATTCTCTCGACTGTTTAGTCTCTCAAACTCTCTGTTATCTCTTGTGCCGTTTTTCTGTTTTGCACCCTAAAATTGAAATCTCTTGTAAATTGATTGTTGTATAGCTTGAACACATCTCTTGAGTGATTTGTAGTGAGCTGATTTTGTATCCTTGTGTGGATTCCTATTTTGATTAGTGAGGGTTTCATTCCAATAAAGATATCTTGAGTGATTCTTGTTGAGTATCTTGGTGTAACTTTGAACGGACTTTGATCATTGGTTAATATAGTGATCTCTTCCGGTTGGCGGAAGCTCAAAGGGGGATTAGAATTTATTCAGAACATCTTGCCTTAGAGCGAAAATTCCTTGTGTTCTTTTTACCTTTTTTTATCTTTCTTACACATTTATTTTTGTTGTTGTTGGTTTGAAGTTGCTAATAAGTGCTATTCGATCTCTATAGTGGTATCACAGCTGCAGGTCGTGGTTCTTGGCTCTCGATCTGTGGAGACATTAAACTGATTCGCTTGATTCGTTTACTGCTTTTATTTTTTGAAACCCTAATATAGGGCTTTTGGTGAGTGTGTTCCGGTTTACCACTGAATGCACTTATTTTTTGCTTATACTTTAATTGTGCTTTGCAAAAAGGTTTTTAAACTGGGTTTGAGACTCTACTTAGCAATACATTTGTCCAGAATCCTTTGAGTTGTTTGGAATTTGAGGGTTGTCTTGTTTTTCGAGTCAAGAACCTCAATTCAAAAACTCTGCACGTGTTCTTTAATTCTGTATATTGCAACTGTGATGATCTGTGCTATATCTTGTAAGTTGTTACAAGAGTAGTTGAATATTCTTGCCTGAAAATTGAATCTTTGAATCACTGTATATAGTATATACATTCTGCTGACTGCATAATTCATTTTATTTCTCTTGAGTGTTGACATTTGAATTATTACTTACTGTGTATACTTTTGGTATGATCTGCCTGATCTGCATTCATTAGTCATACATTCAAACTTTTTATTATGCCTTCTTCTAAATTTGAATTGGAAGCTTTTAATGGCAAATGAGACTTTAATCTCTGGCGCTAGAAAATGAAAGTTTTTTTACTTCAACAAAAGTGTGCAAAAGTCATTGATGAATCATGGTCTACTGATATGGAAACTAGTAAAGTTACCGAATAAGATGAAATTGCATGGAATTCTATTTTTCTGCACTTGTCTGATAATGTGCTTATTGAAATAGGAGAAACAAAAACTGCTGCTGA